GCCACCAACGGAATTTCATTCTTCACCTTTCACAAAAGCATACATGTAAGCAAATTAGAGTTTATAGTCAAGAGCCATCTGCTATCCAGAAATGTTTCTAATAACTCTTTTCATATGTAAGATTTATATACTTTTATGTGTGTGTTTTGCCTGAATGTATGTATGTGTACCATGTGTACACCCAGCACCCTTGGAGGCCAGTAGAGTGTGAGGGATTCCCTGGGACTGGAGTTACAGATGGTTGTAGGCTGCCATATGGGTGCTGGGAACCAAACTGGGGTCCTCTTAAGAGTAGCCAGTATTCTTGACCACTAAACCATCTCTCCAGCCCCTAATGATTCTTTTAATACATAAACGCTTTCTAACTATTTTCCCTAGATGAAAACACAAACTTTCATTTCAGAAATAATATTAATTCTGTTGTCTTTAACAAGAATAGCTAACACAACCTTTTTGCAAAACAAATGCATAAGCAAGTACAGTCTGTTTAACAATGTCCATTAAAAATTAAGACTACTGACCACGCTCTTTACTCACATTTGTTTGTCAATAAGGAGATCAAATCCAGGGTTCCTACATTGAGCTACATGCCCTGCCCGCTAAATGCAATTTCCTAAGATTTCTACAATGCGGGCAAAGACAATAAACCACCTACTTAAAACACACAAGGAGCAACAAATTATCAAGGGAACATGTTGGAATCAATTTAAAATTTTCAGAAATATCCATGGTCACTTCTGGCAGTAAGGTCTGGGATTTTAGTGTCAGTTTGGGTTAGAAGCCTAAACATGCTTTTTAAAAACCCTACAAGTCTAGGTGAGGAAGTTTCAAATCATAGCACCACAAAATAAATAAAATGAAAAGCTTCATGGACAATATTCATGTGCATTCCTAACTGATCACTATTATAATGCAAATTCACAGTAGGCAGAATAAAATGTGAGGTACCCACATAAAACATAAGGTCAAAGCTTTGCCAACTTGTCTTACAAAATTAGCATTTAAAGCTAGCTACTATTTAAGTCATATCTAGTAAGCCACCTACAAAAAACAGAGGATGACTATGTAGGAATAAATTTTAGATTTAAAACGGAGAAGGAAATCTGGAAGAAAACAAGTACAAGGCCAAGCCAGGAGCTGGCCAATCCTCATCAGTGACTTACTTCTTTTTTCTCAGGATCTACTTCAATCAGCCCACGTTCTGAGCCAATTAGCACTGTCCCCCGTTCAGTTCGGAGAGAGAAACAAAGAGGTTTCCCAGGTGCTTGAATGTCCCTAAATTCCAGTGTCCGAAGCAACTTCAGATTTCTCATGATGAAACGATTTCTGAGGGAAAAAAACCCAGATGTCCCTTGATGAAACATTAATGCTGAATAGAGAAAGGACTACCTCACCAGTGATAAATAGCCATACTCGCATCAGGCATGATTCAGGGAGTACAAATGTGGCCATTAGAATAATGGGGGGGGGGGTGGGAAGAGGATACTATCTATATGAACACACCAGCATATACACAATCACACTCTCACTTCTTAAAAGTCCCAGCTTTACACAGTGCTAAAGCAGCGATTAAGTTACATGTTAAGGAGCTGGGGAGATAGCTCAAGGGTTAAGAGCACTGGCTGCTCTTCCAGAGGTCCTGAGTTTAATTCCCAGCAACCACATGGTGGCTCACAACCACCTATAATGAGATCTAGTGCTCTCTTCTGGCCTGCAGGCATACATGCAGGCAGAACACTGTGTACATAATAAATAAATCTTTAAAAGAAAAAAAAGTTAGATGTTAAATCTGGAGACATAAACAAATGATAACGGCTATTACTGTTGCCATGATCCAAACACCATAGTCCACATCCCTCTCCATAAACTTGGATTCCTGTAGGACCCTGCATGGACCCTTGAGGCACCTTGAGCAAGCCTGAAGCTGTTGGCTGGAACTCCTTGCCCCAAGGCTGTTGTTGGTACTCTTCCCGTTTGTATAACACACACCTCGTGGGGAGGAGCTAAGCCTGAAATTCCTGTAATTTTCCACTGTGCTGTAAGTCAGTATTTAAGCCCGTTCTTTCCCCTCGATAAACGGCATTCGGCATTTGGCATTCCGACATTGCCATTGATCGAATGACCCTCTGTCTTGTCTTTATTTCAATCTCTAGACCTTCACCCGATTCGTGAAACAGATCGTAGCACAGGCGCTACAGATTCCATTCATCAAAATCTGTGCTGCCCTGCATCCATAGAATCCAGGATACAAATTACAGTGGTAATAGCAAACTGAGAGGACTTACTTCTCCCCAATACCTGACGTAACTGTGACTACTATCCCAGCAATGGGCCTTTACCTTTACAGGGATGCTGGGTCCCAGTCTCTGGTACTGCCAGAGCCAGACTCATCATTGCCATCCCTGAGGCAGGCGCATTAATCAAGCATGCTACATCTCCAGTCACAGAAATCCAGCCCCAGGCCTAATCTGAGTTTCTGAGCATTAATCTAAAATCTGAATACTATGTTACAAGGACTTTCTAGCAAGGGGTAGAGCCGGATGAGCCATTATCTGTTAGGTGTTGATCCCTACCCACATGGGCTGCTTCCTTCAGCATGCCTTCTAAATTACTTCAGCATTCCCTTTATTTTCTCTTCCTCAAATAACTGTTCAACTAATTCTTCCTAATAAATCCTGCTGAAATAATCTCCCTAATGCCCCAATCCTTTTAGCATCAAAGCTGACTTCTCTGAATTGACATGCCCATAATCCTTACACCTTTAGCTTTTCACAGGAACACGGCCCTGTGTGTTCCTCAATGCTTTCAAAATTAGGACAAGTGTATCTTCCAAATAATTCTAGGATCATAAGCTGTTAAAATCCTTCCTTGGCACTTCCAACTCCCCTCGCTTGATGAAATCAACTTTTCCCCATCCACACGTGTGCTAAGGGTCCTACTGTACAACACTAAGCATGTCCTAATATTCTGACCATTGTTCCATTTTCCCCCCTTGCTCTTCTTCTACCCTCCTTCAGGTTAATGATCCTGAACAGGACATATACTATGTAACTAGGAGGAAGAGTAAATAAACCTATATACCTAGTTGTAATTGATTTCAAGTCCAAACTGAAAATCAAACTCATTATCTCCTGATGTTATCATAAACTGGCCCCTACAAGCACATGAAATGCAAACTGAAAAGCAGAGAACCTGCTACTCTTTTACCAAAAACCAGCGCACCCTGGTTGAGATGAAAGGATGAAAATACAGCCTAACTGTCTAATGACCACTAAAAGTTAGACATTTTAAAATGCCCACCAGCATGTATTTAAAAAATCACCCTAGCTACATGCAAAGCTCAGGAAAAACACATGAAATAGCTTGGTCACGATGACCGGTTTCTGGAAATTATTATTATTATTCATAACCACCTAGTTTCTGAGGAATGTTGTTATCCACAACAACAGTCTGGGAATTGTTATGGGTCATCCTGTCCACAAAGAAAATTAATAACTAAAAAATACAGGACTCATGGCAAGAAGGGAAAACTAGAAAGAACAAAAGGCTTTTGCCAATAACTCCCTTACTGGAGAGTGCATTCTCCCTGCGCCCCCCCCCCCCCCCCGCCATTATCTTAAGGACAAGGCACTGAGCCCGCTGGTCCTAGAGAAAGAAAATCCCCTAACCTTGCAGGTGCGTTAAACAATCCCACCTTGTAAAAACTGTGTACACTATGAAATCTGTGTAATCTTGGAAAGAAACCTTATTAACCATCCAAGTTTTGAACTGTCCCACAACCTTGCTTACCTTGCTTTTAGGCCTAGTGAAAATAACAGGCTAGCTTTGAAACTGGCCTTGCTAGCCTTGATGTAAATCCTATAAAAGCTATCTCGAGGTTCTCAGTCTTTCTACCCCTGTGTGGTGTATGACTGTGGACACCAGTGCACTTGGAATAAAAATTCCTCATGCTATTTGCATGGAGATCGCTTCTCGTGAGTGATTTGGGGTGTCCCCTTTCCTGAGTGGGAGCGTGAAGGTCCACGCTCTGCAGGTCTCTCAGAGACTTACTGTCACCTATTCCCACAAGCTAAAACTGTCTGCCTCTTTTTCACTCATTTTCACATTGAGGTATTCACTGGTTGTCATCGCGGCTCTCAATATACAAAAGAATCCTTTTCACAACACCTACGATCCGTTATGTGACTTGCATCAGAAATTGCCAAATTCCCCCTGCCCGAAGACAAAAGACTACACAATCACTGCCACTACAGAAATCACAGCTTAGGCATGCTAGGCAAGTAAGTGGGGGGGGGGGGCGGGGGAGATACACTACTCCACTGAAAAGCCTCAGATGAGAGAAGGGGCCGTAGCACAACTCTTGAAGCCTCGATTGCCTATCTCCTTCCACGACAGGCTAACCAATTCCTCATAGAGGTTTTATATCCAAGCTGCAAGAAATCCCGTAGCTGGGGGACCAGACTCTCATGCCCGACAGCTGTGCCCCGCAGCGCCCCAGGATGGCCTGGGGTAACAGGCAGAAAGCATCCGAAATTCGAGAGAGGCGGTGCACGCCGCCCAGCCTGGGCGCACAAGCAGAAGCGCATGGATCTCTCTCTCCCTTGCACTAGGAATGTCCTGGAAGGCCAGGACCAGGCCGCGCGCAGCGCCTCACACTGGCTCCGGCGAACGCTCACCTGAGACGCCCTCGCGGGACTACACCCTCGCCTCACTCCGCGGCTCCGAGCCCTCACGACGCACTAGGCTTGGAACGGAACCGCCCAAAGCACACGGGAGACAAGACACGAACCAAGCAAGGGCGAAACCCACAGGCGAGCACGAGCACGGCGGCGCAAATGCGGCGTCACCAGCTAGGCGCGCTGGCGTGACGTCACCATGTAGGCGTGGCCGAGCGCGCCACTTTTGTAGCTTTCCGGAGCCTGATCCTGCAGTGCAGAAGCCTCGGATTCCTCCTGAGCCCTCCCTCTGCTGTTCCTAGGCCCTCTGGCTCCGGGTTGTCTTTGTCCCACTGTTGAGCGTTGGCCCCGAGGTGGGAGGAAGGAGTCGGCGAGCTGCGCGCGTGCGCATAGAGCTGCCACGCGGGAAGTACGTCCTTCTGGCCTGGACCGGCAGAATGGAAGAACTCGGGTCCCCAGAGGCAGCGTTGACGGGGCCAGAGGTAGTCATGGCTACCGAGCCCGAGGCGCCCTCCCTTGTGGATCGATACTTCACTCGCTGGTATAAAGCGGGTAAGTGCGAATGATGCCTTACCGCACGGGCCCGGTGCCGCGGGGACTCGTGCTTCGCCACGTAAGTCACCCGTGGTCTTCTCTGAGCTTCCTAGTCCCAGAAATACAGGTTTGCGCTGTTGGAGAACTGAAACAGGCGCATCCGACCTGGGAAGTGCAGTGCCATGTGAGGGTTGCTTGCCGGAACCGACGTAAACTAAACTGAGGAACCCCGCGTTGGTCTTTCTGGGATTACACTGCCTAGTGTTTGTGCACCTGTGGGGATCGATCCTAGACCGAGGTGGGAAGAAAGTTTAAACTGGAGAGAACATTAAGACAGGTTAAGGAAGCAGTATCTAGTGTTAAGAAACCGGTTGTATTGTCCACTTGCAGTTTCGAAAGTTTCCCAGGCTGGAGAGATGGCTTAGTGTTTAAGAGCACTGACTGTTCTTCCAGAGGACCTGGGTTGAATTCCCAGCACCCATATAGTGGCTTCCCACTCCCTGTAACCAGTTCCAGGGTGATAAGACACCATCACATACACATACATGCAGACAAAACACCAATGCACATAAAATAAAAATAAACCATTAAAAAAAAAGACAGCTCCACAAAAACAACACCATAATGTAAGCAATGTGTTGCTTAACAATAGTGTTTCTCTAATAGAAATAATTGGTATACTTACTTTAAAGTAACAAGATGGAGGAGTTAATAGCCTTACCTGCCTTAACATTGAATAAATGATTCTATCTGAAATAGGCCACTTAAACACCCCATAGCCTCTATTTATTTCCACTACTGTCATCAGCATGACTTATCCTCGTAATGAACTATTTCCATGAACCAAAGAAAGTAATCACATGGCAGTAGCAAATACCAACTCAAGAACCAACAACTCATTTGTTCCTCTAGATGTTAAAGGAAAACCCTGTGAGGACCACTGTATACTACAACACTCCAACCGGTAAGCAAACCAGGAATTGTAAATTATCAACACTTTTCTTCTGGTGGTTAGCTTGATGTAGTCTTGGGCTGGATATGAGCACTTGTCTTCTGCTGTGTTGAGATGGTATTATAGGAGTGTAGTAGCAGGTACAAGTCTTGTTCAGTCCTTTACTGCTTAGCAAACCTGTACCAACCATTGAAGTGCCAGAACCTATGGAATGACTCACTGTAGAAGCAAGCGTATGTCATGCCCTGTGTACACAGTCATGCCTTATTTTCCACCTACCCCAGGGTTACCATAAGACTCGTGAAGGAAATGCAATCCTCTTTTCTTATTACACTCCCCATGTTACACTTAGCTTCCAATTACAGCCAAGAGAAAGAGGTGTTAAAGTGGACTGAATGAAGGTTACTTGGATAGTCTCTCAATGAGAGGACGTCTCCACCACACAGTAACATAGGATTGCTTTTTTTTTTCTCCTTGTAGAATATGTGTCATCACGCTGGCAGGATCTCATCCCGTTCTTCAAAGTGGCAAAACTATTAAAAGTATTTCCTATCAGATCAGTACCAACTGTAGCAGACTTCAGAACAAAGTATCTGGCAAATTTAAGAGGGTATGTCCTGTTTTTTTTTTCCCCCCTATTGAGAGCTTTTTATATCCATGCTGTAATGGATCCACTTAGCCATGAGCAGACTTTTTCTGGCAGTTCAGTGTAATCATTTTCAGTAAAAACAACACCCAACCCCACAAAGAGAGAGAGAGAGAAGAAAATATATTCAAGGTATTCAGGTGGTATAATGTCTATCATAGTAGATTTTGTGCTTACATTCTTATTCCCAAAAAGATAAGATGAAATATGGGCCTTTACCTGGTATCCCAGCTCTTGGGTAGCTGAGGTAGCACAATTGCAAGGATGAGGCCATGTAGAGCTAGCTATATAGTAAGTACCAGCTGGATAAGACTACATAGCAAGACTTCCCAAAACAAGAAAGACTTGGCTCCAACAACCTATGTTCACTATAGGAAAAGTTGGTAAAAAGAGAGTATGAAGCACTCTCGTTCACCTACTTACAGCCCTGATTTACCCACCTCCCAGAGCATCTCAAACAACCATGTGTGCTATCAGGTAGTGTATTGAAATATGGCACAAATGGTTAAAAGGCATGTACTTCAGTTAGCTTTGTGGGGTTTTATTTAAACATACTGCTTTTATTTTTATTCGTGTGTATGTATGAGTGTGCAGGAGCCTGCAGAGGTAAGGGGAGCTTGTCAGATGCCCTAGAGCCGAAGTTAAAGGTAATTGTGAGCTACTGTGTGGGTGTTGTGAACTGAACCTGGGTTCTCTTCAAGGCAGGAGGTAGTCCTAGCTTCTGAGCTACTTCCCCAGCCCACTAGTTTTTTGTTAGTTAGAAAAGTACTCCTTCTTCAGAAAGTCTTGTGGAGTGCTTGACCCTGTAAAGAAGTGTTCCTTTACCTATTAATTTCTAATGTAAAAGATAGGATCGTCTGATATTTTTAGCTTTTGTTTTAAGACAGGGTCTCAATTCTAACCCTGTCTAACCTGTATACTAGCACACCCCACAGAAGATAGGGATCTTAATGAAATATGTAGGATATTACTGTCATATGTTGTATTGAACTTTATCCTGTAGGTTGATTATCAGTAGAGTATCCTATAGGTTGAAGTCTTTATACCTGGCCATATTTAGATTCCTCATTTGCAATTGAAAAACACATCATTAGCCTATAACTAAACTACCCACTAAAAGATGGTACCTAGCACTTAGTAGGTTGTTACATTGAAGTACATGAGTAGTTTTATGCACTTAAATCATTTTTCTGTAAACACCAGTTTGAAGACTAGATCCTGTTTTAATAGTGAGGGGTGTATCAGAGGGAAATGGAAACATGGTTAATTTACTTCTTTCATCTCGTTACCCAGGGGGCACAGTTTTTAACAGAACTCGCACCTCTGTGTAAGATACAATGCTCCGATGGAGAAGAATTTACCATATCTAGGTAAGCGGTGTTTTAACCACCGAAATGCAAATGCCCGTATTCACTGTAGTAAAAAATTGCTTGCAAAATTTTCTTTCTAAAAATTCTTTTTTAAAAACAGCTGTGTTAGAGGACGATTGATGGAAGTGAATGAAAATATTCTTCATCAGCCGTCTCTTCTTCAAGAAAAGGTAAAGGAGAGGTGGGAAAAGCATAATGCGCTCCACATGCCTTTTAGCGATCATTTGACAATGTTCAATGTTCTGTGTGCCCCCCCTCAGCCATCCACTGAAGGCTACATTGCAGTTGTATTACCCAAATTTGAAGAAAGTAAAAGCATAACAGAAGGGTTACTGACACAGCAACAGTATGAAGAAGTCGTAGTAAAAAGAAATAATGCTACAGCCACATCATGAGCCTTGAGATGGAGACACACCCTACCTGGCCTCAACCATCAGTGCACTGAAGAAAGTAATTGTATGTGAAGTATTCCTCACACATGGCCATAGGAGAAGCCTAATCCCTCATCTAACCTAATTCCCCTCCTTTGTTGTAATGTCACAAGCCTTGGTCCTCATTTGTAGTCAAGCTCTCAGGCTGCCTTGCCTGGGTACTTGCTTTGGGTGTTGGGAAGTGCAGTTGTGGGTGTTTGCTTGCATATGGACATCAGAAAACAACTTCGGTTGTTTTTTACCTCTTGTTAGGCTCTCTTTGGCTTAGAATTTTGGCAGATAACTCATGAACTTCCAGGGAGACACCCATCACCTTTGCCTCCCATCTTGTAAGGCTAGTATTATGAGTGAACACTCCACAGTCAGCTTTTATATGGGCCAGAAATCCCAAACTCAGGTCTTCATGTGTTCAAGGTGTATTCCTTTTCAGTTCCTGTGATAGAATACAATAACTAAAAGCAACTTCAACAAGAGTTTATTTGGGTTTGTAGTTCTAGAGGACTAGATGTCCACCCTGGTAGGAAGGAATGGTAGCAAGAGCAGGAAGCTGAGAGGTCACATCTCTACCATACACAAAAAGCAGAGAGTAAAGGGAAAGTAAGGTAAGGTTATTAACTGACCCTAGTGATGTAATTGCCCCAGCGAGACTACTTGTCCTAAAAGTTCCACAAACTGGGGACCAACTGTTCAAATACATAAGTCTATGGGGGTTATTTTTTTTATATCAATCTATACCATTCTTCCCATGATCCTTATAGGCATATAGCCATGACATGCAAAATGCAGTTAATCTAATCTCAAAAATCCCCATACTCATTCCTGTTCTGAAATCTAAAGTCTTCTTCTAAGACTCAGTGCAATCTCTTGTGTCCCCCAGTAAATCAGAAAACCAGTTACATACTTCCAACATACAATGGCACAGAATATGCATTCCCATTCCAAAAGGAAGAAATAATGGGCATAGTGAGGAAATACTGAGCCAAAGCAAGGCAGAAACCAGCCAATCCTGCAGCTGCATGTCTACTATCTAAGGGTTTGGTTTCAAAGGGATTAGTTGACTGCCTCTCCAGCTTTGCTGCCTGCATTATAGATTTTTTTCTGCATTGTTCTGCTCTGTGTGCAGCTCTCCTTAGCAATATGTTTCACAGCTTTGGTATTTCCAGTGTCTTGGGGCCCAGCTCCATGTGGCCTCTCATGGCTGGCCTTCTTGCAGAGACTATCTCTACTATATGCTGCTTGGCCTCTAGCTTTCTGAAGCCAAGAAGGAAGAATCCAGAATCCTTTCATTCTTTTATGCCTCCAAAGCTAGTATCATGTGGAAAATACTTAAATATTAGACTACCAGCTTTCATTCCCTTGATCATATCCACAGCAGCGCTCGTGTTGTGTTGTTTTCTAGGAGCAAAGAGCCAGTATCTTAGGTTCTTTCACAGATTGGAGGTTTATCTGGGTGGAGTCTTGCCTTGGCCAGCTGTCCCATTGTTCCAGTGTAGAGCAGACCTTTTTTTTTTTTTTTTTTTTTTTTAATATATGTATGTATGCAAGCATGTTCGGATGTTTGCCTGATTGCCAGAAGAGGGCATCAGATCCCATTATAGATGGTTGTGAGCCACCAAGTTGAAACACAAAACAAAAAGTACAATAAATGACCCAGAGACATATATTAGGGTTCAGCCTAAAGATCAGGGAAGCAAAGCAGACAAGCTACCAGAGGGGGGTGTTCCTATTCTCAGTGTGGAGAATGAATGCCTTATACTGACGCCTTGCTCCTGTCTTATATACCTCCATAATGTTGGGATTAAACACTTGTGATCCCAGGTACTGAGGTCATCTTTGTGTAAGCTGTTTCTCTTTAGGACTGGCTCAGTCTTGTGTAGATGTGGGGCGACCTTGGATTCACAGAGATCAATCTACCTCTTAATCGTGAGTCCTAGGATTAAAGGTATATACCACCTCTTCCTAGTTTCTGGCTTCTAGGATTAAAGGTATATGCCTGGGTTCTATGGCTTGTAGCTGACTGCTTTCTGAATTCTCAGACAAGCTTTAATGAATCATAAATAATGTTACCACACCAAGTGGTTTCTAGAATTGAACTCAGTACCTTTGGGAGATCAGCCCATGCTCTTAGCTGCTGAGCCATCACTCCAGCCCTAGAATAGATGTCTTAATAGCACTAATCCCAAGTAACTCCAGCCTTTCCCAGCACATGGCACATGTCTCCTTGTGCTCTTTTCTCCATGCTCTACATTTTGTATTTCTGCTAGACATACTCATTTTTTGTTTGTTTTGTTTTATTAACACAGGGTTTCTCTGTGTAGCGTTGGAGACTGTCCTGGAACTCACTCTATAAAATAGGCTGGTCTCAAACTCACAGAGGTCCTCCTGCCTCTGCCTCCGGAGTGCTGGGATTAAAGGCGTGCACCACCACCACAACCACTTGGCTTGACATGTTCATTTTCATTTGTCAAAATTACACTATCTTGAAATATCTAATGCCAGAGAAAGTAGTCCATTACTTTAATTCAGTTTCATGTCAGTTCTCAGGGCTTGGGTAGAAAGTAGCCAGATTGTTTGTCAAAGGGTCACATAAATGGCCTCTAGCCACTTTACTAATAGAGACATTGTTCTTCTCCAAAACCTAGGAGCCAGTCCTCTACTGTTTATATCACCTTCAGTCTTCTAGGTTCAAAAAAGAAAATCTTGTTATTCAAACATTTTTCTGGCCCAAAGTTCAGTCTTCCAAACTCTTCCAAAACACATGGTTACATTTTTTTTTTTTTTTTTTTCACAGCAACAACTTCACTTCTTGGTACCAAGTCTATATTAGTTACCTCTCTGTTGCTGCGATAAAACACCATGACCAAAGCATCTTAAGAGGGTTTCTTGGCTTGCAGTTCCAGGGGGCTAGATGTGCATATGCATGGCAGTAGGCACAAGAAGCTGAGATGCGACCACCACACACTGGAGGCACACATTGAAGTGGGAATGGATCAAACCCCCTCAACACCCCCCCACCCCCCACCCCCCCACCCCCCCCACCCCCCGGTGACATGCTTCATCCAACAAGTCCCTACATCCTACAGTGTGTAACATTCCCCCTACAGTGCAACCAGCTAGGCACCAAGTGTTCCAAATACATGAGACCATGGGGAACATTTCTCCTTCAGTCTACAATAGGAGGCAAGCACTTTACAGAATAAGCCATCTCCCTAGCCTCCACTCTGTTCCTCTCATTTCCCTAACAAATGGCAAACAAGGAATATATTTCTGATTAAAAAGCTCTTGAAAAATATTTTGAAAAGTTTTGCATTCCTATAACCTCAACTTTGTGTGTGTGTGTTTTCCCACACATATGCATGTGCATTATATTCATGTAATGCCTGCAGATGCCAAAAGAAAACATCAGACTCCTTGAATTGAAACTACAGATGGTTATGAAACATCATGTAGGTGCTAGGAAGTGAATCGGGTCCCCTGGAAAAGCAGCCAGTGCTGTTAATCACTAAGGCATCTCTCCAGCCCCTTGCCTTAATTATTTTTTTAAATAATTTAATACTTTGTTAAAATGAAAGTAATTGTTCAGATCCCTCCCAAATCTGCTTCAAAGTGCAATGAAAAAGTGCAGCCTTGTCCCTTCTGCTGTGGCTTTTCCCCCTCCAGGTTGCTGGTGAAACAAGAATGTGGAGTCTGCCTCCTACTTTGCATAGAAATGCTTTGAAAGTGTGCAAGGGCTCTTCTACCAAATGAAAGAATTGTGCTGGTGTGGAGCTGGCTCTTGCCAATGCATGCTGGTGACTCCATCTTGCACATTTTACTGATGGCTAGTTTGTAGTAATGAAGTTATGTGAGTCTGTCATCTGGAGGCACAGATGTCTTAGAGCAGAACAAGGATTTTACATTATCCAATTAAAAAAAAAACAGCTATGAAGTTCTGGTTTTAGATTATACATTTACACTGAATTTAAAACAAAAAGCCCTTCAATCATGAAGGACTGCAACATTAGTAACTGTTGGCCTGTCCCTGTCCTTAGTGAAACAATTTTAAGTGCAACCAAGGAGAGTTTATTGAGAAGAAGTAGCTCCCTGTAACCAGGAGGGGATTAAAACTAAATTTCCTCTAAATAAAATAGTTTTATACAGATGCAAGCCTGACTTGTAAGTTCTGTCCTCTTGTGTGTTGATGTCATTGTGCCCTGTTTCCTCACCCCCTAAGCACCTAATTTTACTTTCAGGTGTGTGAAGGTATTGTAAATATTTGGGGTAAAAATTAAGCACACAGCCACAGAGCCTCTCAGTGGCAGAAGTCTTCTCAGAGACTCATGCTGTAAAAGTCCTTATCTGTTCCACAAGTTGTATCTTTCTTTGCTAGTTTTATTACAAGTTAGAAAAAAAAAAATGTTTTGTTTCACAGACTAAAAACCATGAAAGACACATAAAATGGTAAGGTTGTAAGGGCACTTTTATTACTGATCAGTATGCTCTCACCCCAGTGGATCAAAATTAAACCAGTTGGTACGAATTCAGTTACTGAACATAATTTTATTGAAGTGTACATTATCATGTTTAATACTAATTAATAATCCTATTTTGTTGACCAAGATAATGACATTGTTACTGGTGGCCCTTAACCAGTTTTATTGAGGGATCTAGGGATCTACTTTATTGCTAAAATATTTCCACCAAGATCCAGTAAAGTTAGCATCCTGCTTCTCAGTTAAGAAATCACAGAATTTTCACCTGTTTGAGTTGGTAACAAACCTGACTATTTCATAGGAGATGATTCCATTCCATTCAATCATACCCCATAACAGCCATCTGCAAGAGTGCTCTCTCCACTGCATTAGAAAGACTGCTTGTGTTAGTATCTATGATGGTAGCTAAAGAGATGAGAGTTCTGTGCAGCACATGCTGGCACTGCTCATGCACCTTCCCTCAGCTGAATGATCTGAGCAACCTTGTCCTTGCTTTACAACACAGCTTATAAGGTTACCAACAGAGTCAATTCCCCAGCCCAAGGAAAGGTTGAAACCCTAAAGTTAAAAAGTCTAAAACTGGACATTCCAATGCCAGAAACAAAACACAGAGCACAGATATCTGGAATTTTGAAAGCCTCTTGGTTCTAATGTCCTGTCTTCTGCACCTGCCAGTCTATCAATACTGAGAAGGATAGTTCAAAATTGTTTTTAAACCAGTAAGAAATACTTAGCATTCCATACACTATCCAGGACTACGTAGTCAGCTATACATACTACAGCTAGAGTAAAAAGCCATTTTCTCTTCTTAAGTTGCTCCATGGTTCTTTGTAGTGACTTCTGTTACTTTCCTTTCTGAAACATGGAAGGGACAGATGCAACCTATACCTTACCAGGTAAGATGCTTATTAGAAGCAACAGTGCTAGCAAGGATGAGACCAGGCATTTGAGGGACCCTTAGCCTGCTTCACCAAGAATTGAAGAAGAGTCCACAGGTCTAAGAAAAACTCTGCATTCAACTAGGCCACTGTATATTTTCTGCTGAAATTAATGTTGTAGATAATCAGCTTAAATAAAAGTTAAGGATACCAAAAGGGAGTGTGCATTTCCAGTTGCGTCTTTGGGATTCAGCTGTCATTAAGACAGCTGGGATATTTGGTGTATGCTGAAGAACATTTAAACAATGTCTACTGTAAAATCACGCTGCCTTTAGAATCTCAGCAACTGCCACAGCAATGACTGTCGTTAAGCTGTCTAATCTGAAGATTGGGAAGAAAGAGATTTCGGCATTCTCTTTAGAAAACTGATGAATTTCTGAAAGAACAAAGGATCGATTGCTTTTTTGAAAGGTCAGCTGTGCCACATGGTACTCCGGAGATGAACTGCCGGCTGCTCAAGTTTTACCATCAATGGTATCTTTATTCGTCACTGAGACCCACCTGTTATTTTCCACCTGGAGGAAAAGGTTAAGAGAATTAGCTTCGGCTGTGCTCTGAAATCAAACTGCAAAGTACCAGTGCACACACTGTCGTTTTCCATTAAGTTAGTAAGAAAAAGTCGAATACAGAAAAGCCATCTCACCTTCTTCAGTAACTTGTAGCAAAGTGACAGGAGCTGGACCACGAGAGCCATCATGGATCTTATCTTTGTAATACACTTGTCAACCTATGGTGACAAAACATGTGTCATTCTAAAAACAGTACTTCAAAAATGTTAGCATCTATTTGGTTTTACAGTGGTGAAGTTTCTCCGTCATGGTTCTCCGTCATGGAAATCTAAGAGATCTTGAAAAGTGTAGGTCAGGGTACTTTAAGGCTCCAGAACACAGGTAGCACTGACTACCTGGTCTGGTGACTGTTTCATGGAACCCCAGGAAGGAGGGTGGCTGCAACTGTTCTACGTAAGCTGTGATGAACATCTCAAAACATTCCACACACTGACAGTGCACCCACTACTTGGTAATTCTTTAGACTGGCCAAACTCCTGAAGTATATTACAGGAGCCTCAACTACAAAG